ACTTTTTCTCTCTCTCTCTCTCTCTCTCTCTCTCTCTCTCTCTCTCTCTCTCTGTCACTCTCTCTCACTTTTTCTTGATCCTATTTCGCTTCTTCCAAAAACCCAACACACGCTGATCACCATCTCATGCTCTGTTATCATCCTGTCCCATACTTTGCTTTCTTTCTTTCTGTGTCTATTTCGCTCGCTCTCCTGCAGTCGTAGCATGAGCTAGTATCCCTCTGCTCTGAATGCTAAACGCTGTGTCGAGTCGGCAGGCTGCCTGAGCCCCTGCTGCTACATGAACTCCGCCACTCTAGAGACTAATAGCCATTAACACTCTATACGGTTCCACTGTCCTCATCTGAGAACAGCCTGAGCCCTTGTAGTTGGCTCATGAACTTAAAACCTGCCAAATATCCAGAGCACAACCAACTATCCATCTCATTTTCAAATTCAGAGCACTCATTCACAGGTTCTGCAGTTGTTGGATTATATCCAGACATTCTCTATATTTAAAGTCTATACAGTTATTATGTAAAGAATTGTGTAAGTAAACATTTACATCAGAATGACCAAACAAAATTCCATATGTTAATATCCAGATAAGTCTGCCACAGCGATATAATCATAGTGCTAAATTAAATGTCTCTATGCCAATTCCAATTGCTATATTTGTTTTCTTGACAGACTTTTTCTCACCAAAATGACTCAGGAGGATGAGCATACATTATGTTGCATTGAGATGTCAGTAGAATTCAAATTGAGTGTTAAGATGAGTGCTAATAATATGTCTTGAGGAGCTATTGTGCTCACAGGGACACTGGTTGAAGACTCAGGTAGTTGTCATGTCATTTTAATCAAGCAATAAGCAATGAGAGACCATGCGACTGTTGCCATTTATCATTTATGAAACATTTGCAGAACATGATCAGGCTTATAATAATTTCTAATTTAAACAAAATAACCACAATCAAATAAGAAACATCACACAAAGCTATTATAAATATGTCACATTTAACCATGCCTTTAATTAGAGTGGTCAAATCACTCTATTGTACGGTGGCCGAGAGAGCTCAACGCGCTGCATCTTAAGAAAACGCATGCAAATAGAAAAAGCACCAGCAAATTAAGAAAACATCATTATCAGTTTGATAACACTGCAAATGTTATCTGCAAACACTGCAAACGCGCTGCAAATGCTCACAACACAACCAAATACAGAAATGCTCTGCAAATACTTGCAACACAACCAAATACAGAAAAGCATTGCAAGTAGCACAGACCACAACGGAAATGTTTCAAGGGGACCCCAACAACCCTTATAATATCCAAAAAAGCTAAGGAATCATATGATCAGGATGTTAAAATAAACAAAAATCCCACCTATCAGAGCAGACATTGATTTTTTTTTGCAGCGTGTTTCTGTATTTGGTCGCGTTGTGAGTATTTACTGCACGTGTCAAACTGATGAAGATGTTTTTTTAATTTGCTGGTGTTTTTTCTATTTTTTTCATTTGCAGCGCCTTGAGCTCTCTCGGCCACCGTACTATTGCTTGCCTGTAGCATGAATATAGAATGTAACATTAACCAGAGGAAGTTAGGGGAAAAGTAGCCACATGAACTTGGGGAGGGGGAAAAAAAGGATGCTGCTATATTAGTTTTCATTTTTAAATAGTCTATATTATTGACAGAAATTATTACTTATTTACAAAAGATTTCTATTTAAAATAAATATAGTTTTTAAACCCTCAATTCATAAAATAAAGTTTCCAAAAAAAATATTAAGCAGTAATGAGAAGAAATGTTTCTTGTGCATCAAATCAGCATATTAGAATGATTTCTGAATGATCATGTGACACTGAAGACTGGAGTAATAATGCTGAACATTCAGCTTTGACATCACAGAAATAAATGACATTTTAAGATATATTCAAATGGTTAACAGTTATTTTAAATTATTATTTTAAATATTGCTGTTTTTACTATATTTTTAATCAAATAAAGGCAGACTTCTGCAAAACTTACTCCTAACCTTATTAACAGTAGTGTGTGGACATGTGTATTCCCAGCTGTCTGGGGCTTGAAGTTAGGTTATTGAGCATCAGTGTTTTAAAAGAGAGCAGAACTGTGAAAGAGGGAATGTTAGTATCTCTCTCAGTTTCCTCTCTGCTGTTTATGCCGTCATCAGTGGACTCCATTATAAAATGTAAATACACAGTGGTTTCTCAGCGGAGTATTAAAGGGGTCATATGATGCGATTTCAAGTTTTCCTTTCTCTTTGGAGTGTTACAAGCTGATTGTGAATAGATAAGATCCCTAAAGTTGCAAAGACTAAAGTCTCAAACCCAAAGAGATATTCTTTATAAAAGTTAAGACTGGTCCACGCCCTCCTAAAACGCCTCGTTTTAACACGCCCTCACATGTCTACATCACTGTGTGGGAAGATTTGCATAACACCGCCCAAATGTTCACGCAAAGAAAGAAGGCCTAACTTTGATTCTCGCTGTAGTATTGTTGCCGCCGCCATGTCGTG